CATACCATACCATACCATACCATACCATACCATACCATACCATACCATACCATACCACACCATACCTTTGCTCAGATTGATGGAAGTCAAAAGAACGGCGGGCCAAAGCATATTATTATATCTGGAATAGCAATTAGTGTTATGTGACCTCACAGACCACTTTTTTTTTTACATTGCGACGGTATTGCAGCCTTAGGCCATTTCTAGGCTCAGAATTTATTTGTCTTAGAACCTAATTCCACCGATCCATCACTTTTCTTTGGAAAAAAACGATATTTCTTTGTCTAGAACTACTCATAGTTTCCAATATGAACTCTCTAATATCCCCAAATGCATCACAGAGCAATCCGTCTGTCTGGGCTTCCCTTTTCGTTGTTTATTATTTCAAAATTACGATATTGTTATCTTTCTTTTCTGTTTCTCCTTTGTCCTTCTCCCCGTCCAACCACCCTTTTTCCTTTATTTGCCTCTCTTTCTCTTCTCCCTTCTCTCTCTGTTTCTCTTTCTCTCTTACTTTTTTCTTCCTCTTGTATCGGTGGGTGTCGCGGGGAGACACAGGCGTCTGTCTGCAGCAAGGCGAGTAGCCCGTAGGAGGGACATCCCGTGAGCTCTGAGGGTGTCTGCCACAGATTCGCCTCAGTGTTGCCTTGGTCTTCCTCTAGCTTTCCAGAAAGAATATTTAATTTTGATGTTGTATACCATCAGAGCTGATTGATTTGAAGGCGTCCGAGTGAGATGTCCGAACCACTTTTTGTTGTCCGATCTTTTGTTTCTCAATGTGTGGTAGGACTGGTTTTGCTCTTAACATCTCCCTTATGATTTCATTTTTTTATCTTGTCTGTTTCTCTCCTTCCATTTTTACCGTTTTCTTCTTTCTTTCTTTCTTTCTTTCTTTCTTTCTTTCTTTCTTTCTTTCTTTCTTTCTTTCTTTCTTTCTTTCTTTCTTTCTTTCTCCCCCCCCCACACACTCGCTTTCGGTCCATTTCTTTGTCTTTCAGATTTATTCCGTTTCTCTCTTTCTCACACACCTCCTGGCTAGGAGTATACGTAGAGATGCCAATATGTCCACCGATTCTATATAATAATATGGTTTTATTAGGTACGGAACGATATTCTTCTGCTGTAAACGGAAGGAACTAATACGTTTTCTCTTTCTTAGAACGATGCTATCGGAAACTGAAGTTAAGTTTTGAGTTCCTGTTCTCAAATACTTTACAGTGTTGAGGGGCGTTAAACCTAAGCAATGCAATATTTATCCCAAAACTCGTGATGCACAAAACAAAAGACTACCCCCCCCCTCTGCATAAAACAAAAGCAAATACAAACACAACTCAATTTCCTTCGATCATTTCAGCCTATCAACCAGACTTCCCTTTATTTTTCAGACTGCCGTGAAGCTATTCTGCACAGGGTGTGGATTTTTCAAGAAGAAGTTTGAGGTAAGCAGTTTGATTGAGACATAATGACACGACAAACGGTGGGCAATGCAGTTTGTCTTGGGTTTAAAAGTGTTTACCTGTGTGTGCATGTCGTTTGGTCTCTGTCTGTCTGTCTGTCTGTCTGTCTGTCTGTCTGTCTGTCTGTCTGTCTGTCT